TTTTTCCGATTTAGGAGATCGTGTCTGGTTCTCAACAGGCACAAATAGGGGAAGTAATTGGCCATTGTAGGTGTTAAGAGCATAATCAAAATTGTGATTTAGATCTCTAAAGTGGTCAGAAAGAAGAGATGCAAAGGATACTAAAATATTAATATAAGGATAAATCTACTTGTACTTAATTTTACGTACATAAGGGTATCCATACACTCACGTGGGTGTAGTGTATGGACACCCAAGTATATAAATTATGTATGCCAAGCACAATCCTTAATATAAATGGTCCAAGCTAAGCGAGAATTTTCTATATGCATGCGTACAATTTGTATAGGCAAAGCTTGGCTCAAGGTACACATGGAAATGATTTATCCTAGCTAACAAAGTGCTGGATGATAAGTTTATTTACTTGTTTAAATGTTGTTAACGCTGACTAATAAATGCATTCCTCGAAAAGATTATTACTACATGTGGGAAAAAATAAAGAATTAGAGAATACTATCTATACTAATACCAGTACCAATACCAGTACCAGTATCGGCACGAACACGAGCACGAGCACGAGCACCAGCTAATATTGTAGTACCTACTAATTGCTGTTACATCAGTCCTAGTTATATGAGCTGCACAACATAACATGTTGATATGTACATAATAATACGAAGGATCTAACTATGTTAATAAAAAAACCTAAAAATTGTTTCCCTTAACTAATCATATAGATATTGAAAGAGAGAAAAAGTAGGTAAAAATTAGAGAATACTCGGTCCCTCTGCTGAAGGTGGCTTCTGAAAATCCTCTTCATATTTCTTCCCAAAAATCCGAAATAGATCAAATCAAAATGGCTCCCTCCTCAATTTACACTAAAAATAAAATAAAAATTAATGTATTAATACTATTAACTGCAATTAATTTATGGTGGGAATTGGAAAACAAAGCAAATTAAACTTGCATCATGGTATATTGTTGGAAATGTGTGCAAAGTAGATTGGAGGTCTTGATTCCACTCCAAAATAATCGGGTTAAGTAATTTTATCGTAAGAGTATTCTAACCTTTTTAAATGATTCCTTAAGTCCCAACATTAACTTAGGAGAAAAAACACATTACATATAGACTGCCGAATTTGGGAAATAAAATAAAATAAATTGTATATGCCTGAAGGAAACAAAAAGCTAAAGCATGAGCAACATCTTAATGAATCCTCTGAGCGCATAACCCCTTCATTTTTTGATATTTCCTTCTTCTCCACCTCATTTTCTATCTTATAGGATTTCAAATCCAATACCCCTCAGCATCACAACAAAACAAAACAATCACAAGCTTTTGATCAACTAATTTCTCAATCTTTACAACTTCTATATTTACCGTCGTATTTACTGTTTGGTCTAAGTAGCAAATAATAAGGATGATCTATTTTTATTTTTATTTTTTTTCTTTTTGGAGATAAAAATATTTTTTAATAAACTAGTTCTCATGTGCAATTATTTTTTTACGGTGTTTAAAATATTTTCGAATGTAAGAAAACCAAGAAATTTGGAGAACGTGTCAAAAAATATTATATTATTATTTTTGTTTAAATTTTTTGAAAATTACCAATTGATGACATCAGGTCATACCAAACTTTAAATATTTCATCACATGATGTCAAACATTATTTAATTCTTATTTAAGATTTTAAATAATATAATTGTGCTTGACATGTGAATAATGTATAACCGAAAATTGTAAATTTGTGTTGGAGTTAGACATTCTGTTTATGGTTTGTCTTGTCATTTGTAAAATGGGCTTGTATCCCAGCATTTTATTACAAACTTTGAAACTAGACAAAGTTTAATTATCAAACACTCGTTGTTTTTACAAATACCTCATAATTTATAGTATATATGTTTAGAGTAAAATGTAAAATATTTACATGCGTTAGCTTTTTCTCAAATTGATAAATAAAAGTCATATTGCTCAAGGGAAAAAGAATTTTAGCCCCTTTTTATCAACCATTACTTGGATAAGGGATGTGCTTGCCATACACTCTTGAATACAACAAGACACACAACCCCCTCACATGAGGGGGCCCCCTCATGTGAGGGGCTGTACATGTATAGTTAGTGGTGGATCCAGGATTTTAAGTCAAAACAAGTGATCGTTGACCACGGATCGTCGGTCCAATAAAATATTACGAGCTCATTTGATGTAAATTTTTTTTTTTTGGCAAAAAATGTATTTTGGAAAATAGTGATTTGATGGAAAATATATGGTTAAAAATAAGGAAAAATTTTGAATTTCATGTAATATTATTTTATTGAATAATATATGGTTGAAAATAAAAGAGAAAAATATATTCTGAAATAAATGTGAATCAAACAAGACATAAAATTTAAACATAACAATTATTTTGTTGAAATTGAATATATATAATTTTGTTAAAAGAATAAACCATATTCATCAAATGATATTGTTGCCAAGTTTTATATAATTCAAAAGAAGAGCACGGGTTCAAGTCTTTATTGTTGCATTAAAACCAACTAAGATCTAATATATATAAATTTGTTAAATATATTATCACAATTTGACAATTGACATAATGGTCAAACCATTAATAATTTAAACAATAGCTCCAAGTTCGAATCCCCTCCTCTTCATTCCATTAATTTTTGGTAAAAATTGTAAAACTAAAAAAAATTGAACAATAAAAATTGACTGATAAAGGATCGAACTGGGACCTGCAAGATGTAAAAACCCGCAATAACCAACTTGGCCAAAGGCCACATACAAATAGAAAATGATTATCGGAAATATATCTAAAAAATTCATCTATTCTCAACAAAAAAAATGGCTGCCGGCGAATCCAGCTCGCACGGCCGCGGGTGCTCGCCAGGTACTGGATCCGCCAATATTTATAGTCTAACGTGGACTGTACAAGCAATTCAACCCTTTGGATAAAATAGAGTTTTGAATAATGATTTTTTGAATGATGTGCGGTTAAAAATTAAGAAAAAATTGGATTTATGTGTAGAATATTTTATTTTATGAATATGTGGTTGAAAATGAGTATATATAAAAAAGTTTTGAAATAATGATTGTCAAATAGAGGCTTAGATTGGCAATAAAAATGAAATATTGCAATGAGGTAAAACAAATATTTTTTCACCGAGGAAAGGGACCAAGATGATAATTCCTAGAAGAATGTATTGAAAAGAGAATTATTTTGCGATTAGGAAAAGAACCCCCACGTCAATAGGTAAAGAAATTTACCATAAGATTTCAAGGGTCTATAGATTCATGGCATTACATTGAGAATAATTGTGTTTGCCACTAATGTGGCATGCATTCGTACCAAGAATTACGTGCATCTAAAATTATAAGAGTTTAGTAGAGAGAAAATTGTTGAAGAGAAACTAGAAAAGAAAAATAACGATAAGTATTTGTGTGTAATAGTTTTCTTAGGGAGAAAATATGCAAGCGGAAAAATATTGTATTGTGAGGTTTTTTCAGATAATAAAGTATTTTTCTCACTTGAATGTTGGCGAGTCAAACCATGTTTAATCAGTATTCTCTTGAAAATTACTATTCAAAACATTGTTTTGGCCAAATAATGACCATCAAACAGAGCCAAATGATCCAATCAATTCCAGCCACACTTGGTATTTACAATTCTATAGAGAATAAATACTTTTGATTTTACAGTTCTCATATTTCTAATGCATTTTCAAGGCAGTTAGCGTGCACAAATGTACTAAAATTGTTAGCAAGTAAAACTTGTAGTTACTACAGTAAGTTTTAGTTAAGAACAGCTGGGCCGAAAGCAACAGCCTGGGCAATAGTTTATTTGGTCAACTAGTTGGATCAGTTTACCAGTAAAACTTGTCTGTCTTGATTCCTTCGCAACCAATCGCTAGACAATCTCAGATATCTCATTGGCCTACTAATCATGTGCCCTTGAAATCCATATGCCCCCTTTTTTTTCCCATCAAAAACCTCAACAACAGCCATCTGAGAAATCACATTGGAAGTCGTCGGCCTTGGCGGAGAACATACTATTTGGGGTGTGTATTCAAAGTGTGGAGAAAAGAAGATTCATGGGGAGAGTTGACATTTTACAAGGTATTCTATGTTGATCAAGAAATTCTCAGAAAAGTTTATATTTCAGCCAGAAAATTGGGAATTTTTGATCCATAATTAAGTTTTCTTAGACGGTTGCATAGAATTTGATAGATTAATTTGTTGGTAGATCAAGGTACTTGTTTCTGATTTTCCACAAACAGTTTTAAATGTCTGAGACAAGAATTGACAGAGTCACCGTTGACATTGATAAGATGCTTAATAGCTCATCTTCTACACCTCCAAAACCCTCAATGTTTATAGTTGGTGATAATTTACGCAGCATAAATCCAGAGGCTTATGATCCAGAAATAATAGCCATTGGCCCATTTCACCGAGGTAAACATAAATTGCAGAAGATGGAGCAACACAAAGTCAGGTATCTAAAGCTTTTTCTTCAAAGAATAGAGGAGTCAAGTGTAGAAAGATGCGTTACCACAGTAAGACACTTGGAAGATAGGGCGCGAAAATGTTATGCAGAAGACATCGACCTTGATGAAGATAAATTCGTGGAAATGTTGATTCTTGATGGTTGTTTTATCATCGAATTTCTCTATATGTTTCAATACAAAGATTGCAGGGATGAAGATGACCCCATTTTCCAGTATGGATATATACAAAGTCAATTGTTTCATGATCTAATGCTATTTGAGAATCAGATTCCATTTTTCATTGTTGATCGTTTGTTGAACATGATCAAGATCAATAATGGAGACAACGACATTTATTCTCTATTATGGCCTTTACTGCAAAATAGCTTTTTTCGAGTGGAAGATCTTCCTGAAGTCCCTATTACTGGTCACCATCTTCTTGGCATTGTACATGACATCCAGTGTTCTTCATTTGCAACGATATTCTCTCAGATGGCTACCGGAAATCCAGATAGCATGGTGAATATAAATTCAGCTGTAGAGCTCAAAGAGGCTGGGATTTCCTTCAAAAAATCTGAAGGTGATAGTTTTTTTCATATTGAGTTCAAAAATAAAGCAATGATCATTCCAGAATGGGAATTTTCTGATTCAACAGAATCATTGTTCCGAAATCTGATTGCATATGAGTACTACCTCACAGGCAGTCCTCAAAAATATGTGACGGACTATGTATTCTTCATGCATTGTCTCGTCCATTCCCCTGAAGATGCAAAATTGTTGCGCCGTCATGGAATCGTTAACAACCTTTTGGGGAGCGATAAAATGGTTTACCATGTAATCAACCAGTTAGGCAAGAATATCATAATTTCTGAAAAGTTTTCGTATTCTAATATTTTCAACATTGTGAACCATCATTGTGTCCGCAAATGGAATATAAGGATGGCCACATTAAGGCGAAAATATCTCAACAGTCCATGGGCACTTATTTCAGTCTTTGCTGCCACTTTCTTGCTTGTGCTCGCCATCATACAGGCTACGTTTGCTATTCTCTCATACCGTAAGTCATTCCCTAAGTCTCGTATGTTTTTAATTAATTATTTGCATATTTTAGCCTTTGTTTGGAAAATGGATAAATGGTTTACAAACAGGATTATTAACGGGTCTTACAAAATGCGTGTATGATGATGAGTATAGTTATGAATGTATTGTTGAAATTTATGTTTGACTTTGATCGAATTTATAAACCCGTTTATAAATTGTATCCAGATAGAAGCTTAGTGTTGAAATGCTCGTCAAATAAGCTATTAGGAATTGACTTTGGATTGTTTCATTAAAAAGGAAGCTTCTACCTTTCTTTGAAAAGAATTGCTGATACATTTATTGTGTGACAGTCACTTGAACTACTAAGAGAGATTTATATTTGATTATTTAGTTGTTTAAATGCTACATGTTATTGCAGGTAATGATCTCAAGGAGGGGAACGGTCTCAAAAAGGGAAACTAATTCTAAGTGTTTGAAGGTGGCCACAATGTATGGTAACTCAAATTACTATTAACTTCCAAGGACAATACAGAGTCTACTGAGTCTATCTTGGTGTAAGAAGCAATACTAAACCAGATTTCAAGTTAAATCATCTGTTAACAAAAATTGAGTTTGCATTCTAGGTTGTTTTATAAGGTTCCACCCTATCCCAACCTACTTCAGAGCAAGAAGATAGATTAAAATTCAGAATGTTTCCAACAAAAGCAACCTTGACTTCTTGACATTCACATAGAAGATTGGCAGATTAGCGAAAGACTGAGACTAAAAGATATTGTTCCAATCTACGATATCATGTTGCAGTAGAAGAGTGGTACTAATTCAAGACGGGATCTTGAATCTATTCAGAAATTAGAGGAGACGTAGAAAATGAAGTGTTTCGTTATCCCGCAATGTCATTTTGCTTGGCTTAAATATTAGGCTATGATTATAATCTTGTGTAATTAGATAACCAGAACCGAGAACTATCTTTGATGATTGTCTGTTCATTGCTTTTTTTGGCACATTAGTAATAGCAAATCCTAAATGAACATTCACAATTAAAATTCGTCAAAAGTTTCGGATAAACCTATTCAATCCTCTCTAGGCTGCTTTAAACAAGATTGCAAACTAGTAAGATCTATTTCACTTCTCTAATACACGACTAATTTAGGTATCGGTGTGTTTCTAACTGGCCCTTTTCCATCTCTTTAGGCTAAGTATTCTAGCATTGGTTGAGTGTGCAAACTGAGACTACAAATTTGGCTCATCTTGTCAGCACAAAATCTCAGCCAGATTCGAACGACCACATATACCTTACTATCTCATGATTATTCAAATCTAGAAAAAATTTATATATAGTTGATGATGTCTATTACTTGATAAACATAAAATGAAGAATGAAGGACTTCAAACCTTGAATGTGTCTATTTTTAACAGATCAACTATATGGATCGGTCAGAGCTTAGTGGACTACAAGTTTTTCTCCAATCATGGCCTCGCGTAATTGCTAAAATTTTTAAGTACAGCTTGTTAGAAGTTTTGACTCAAATTAATTTATTTGTATTAAATAA